GCAGTAAAGAAGGAGGACCAAGCAAATACGATCACAAGAAGCGCCCGTGCTGGAAAGGCGCTCTCTGTGATCGTATTTGCTTGGACCTCCTGCAACATTGCAAGCTTCTGATGTGTTGATTGTAACACGAAAGGACTAGAGCTATCATTCAACTCCCCCTGTGATTTTTTGTATCTTGTATCGCTTGTTCGCGATTTTTGCATAATATATACATACATATATACACCGGCAGTTGTATATCTCTCACTATATATATATACACTGGGAGTTTACTTTAATCTCCGTTTTAGGTATAAAAGTATTTTGACTTGTGGTGTACAAGTCACTTGCAACCTCAATGACCTCAGTGAAGTCGATAAACATTAAACCCAACAAGTCGCTATAACATCTAGGTTCTTTACACCTAGGTTATTTAAACCTACTTTCTTTACACTTTGATTCTTTTCACTACGGTATACAAATGGTGACGTGTTGTGTTAAACGCCTTCCTGGTATATCGTAAACACTATGTCTGGTCATTCTAGGTACGTACATTCTCTTCAGGCTTCTCCCTGCTCTCTGTTTCTGGCATGATAAATATCAGTGAGTGGGCGAAACGTAGTATTTAATAAAATTGGCTTTCCTACCTTACTTGTCGGCAGTACCTGTCACATTTGTCGGCAATACCTGCTACTTGACAGAAATACCTGTCACACAACATATACAGACCTTATCTAATTTGTATTAATTCGTTTAGACAAAAAAAAACTTGCAATAAATCATTCATACATGTCAGAGTAGTCAAGAGCTCTGACTTGTGCAGTGCTTCACACACGTCAGGAATCAGGATAGCCAGGTGCTCTGACTTATGCAGTGATTCAGACACGCCAGGAATCGGGATAGTCAGGTGCTCTGACTTATGCAGTGCTTTGGACACGTCAGGAATCAGGATAGTCAGGTGCTCTGGCTTATGGAGTGCTTCAGACACGTCAGAAATCAGGATAGCCAGGTGCTCTGACTTATGCAGTGCTCCAGACACGTCAGGAATCAGGATAGCTAGGTGCTCTGACTTATGCAGTGCTTCAGACACGTCAGGAATCAGGATAGCTAGGTGCTCTGACTTATGCAGTGCTTCAGACACGTCAAGAATCAGGATAGCCAGGTGCTCTGACTTATACAGTGCTTCAGACACGTCAGGAATCAGGATAGCTAGGTGCTCTGACTTATGCAGTGCTTTAGACACGTCAGGAATCAGGATAGCCAGGTGCTCTGACTTATGCAGTGCTTTAGACACGTCAGGAATCAGGATAGCCAGGTGCTCTGACTTATGCAGTGCTTCAGACACGTCAGGAATCAGGATAGCCAGGTGCTCTGACTTATGCAGTGCTTCAGACATGTTAGGAATCAGGATAGCCAGGTGCTCTGACTTATGCAGTGCTTCAGACATGTTAGGAATCAGGATAGCCAGGCGCTCTGACTTATGCAGTGCTTCAGACATGTTAGGATAGCCAAGTGCGCTGACTTACATAGTTCAGAGACGCTCTTCTCAAGCTTCATGACTAAAATGTTGAATCCTGTTTTCGTACTTTTTTGCTTGGCAACCTCACATTTTTCCTTCCTTTCTGAATGAATATCAAAGTGTATTACTAAACAGCCAGGGGTTGGCTTTGGGTTCCGTTTAGCTCAAGTTCACCCTTACGCACCTAACCTCAATGTATATATGGAGAGGGCCGGACTATTTCAGTATATTATTACTTGACAATCTCTTATTTTATTAAGTGGGTGTAAAAACTTGTTCTGGTAGGCCAGAGGATGCCAGCCAATGGGCGTGCTTTGGCCTGACAGTGTCTGGAGGCACTACTCTGTTTTCTGACGAACAAAACACATCATGACCTTTAACTGCCAAGAAGTGAGGTAAAATACTGTGAAGAACCTATATATAGGCTCTGTTTTCAACATTGCATTATAAGGGTGCATAAAATTGTACTTTGCCAGGGGCGCACTTAATGAGAAAAAACTGACACTGAAATTACAAGGTAAAATAAATCATTACCTATAAACTCGTTAAGCACTACAAAGGAAATGTGTCCTCCCTTGAACATTGTTTTCATCGTATTTCCTGACACACTTGTTGGTAATGTTCAACTTTACCGTTCGATGTTGGATGACCCACAAGCAGGGTCGGGCAGTTCATGGCCCCGTGTCACGAAGGCATCTATCGTGGCCTGTCCGCTATCACGACCTTAGTTCAGCCCACTGATTCGTCATTTAGCACAGATTACATAAAAACAACACTTGCGTAATATCTAGAAGGGTACGACATTTTCTGGACCCATCGATGGACTGCAAAGGGGCGAGAGAGCCACTTACCAGGAGCTGGGTGCCAGTGTGTTCTCACCTGCACCGCCGCATGGAAGTGCCACTCGCTGGGATTCGACCCTCACCCCCCCCCCCATTCTTAGTTGCCAAATCTCGCTACATACAGCCACTATCGTATACACACTCTTGCACACAAAAGTGCCACACATAGTATAGTATATACCGAGAGGGGTATATACCTCGCTACATATGTCCTCTGTCGTAGACACACTTGCACACAATATTACCACACATAGTATAGTATACATCGAGAGGAGTACATGCCTTGCTACTTACATCCACTATCGTATGCACTCGCATATAAAACTAAGACACAGAATAGTATACTCCGAGAGGAGTATATACCTAGCTACATATGCTCTCTTAGGCTCTTACGTACATTCATGCATGAAAAACTACAACACAGGATGTATTGTATACCGAGAGGTGAATACACTTCACTGCCTACGCCATCTATCGTAATATACTAATGCATTCGAATTTGCCATGCATGGCATATACGCCGAAGTGTGTATATCTTCTATTTTAGAAATTAAAGTATTCTTTAGTTAATGCACAGATTGATTTCGGCCTTAATGATGGGATTTAAATTACTATTATATTAAAAACCAAGCGCTAAACTCATAGTTAGGGTTCAAACCTAACAAACTCAGCTTCCGCACAAGAGTATATATACACCGAGAAGTGTAAATCTTATCAGTGTAAATACACTGAGAGTTTGCTGTGGTCAGTATATTAGGGATTAAAATAGTCATGCTACTGGAATACTGATGGGTAGCGACCTTGACCAACCTTGAATGACGACACCAAATGTTACGCTGTAATAGCGTAATACCTTACAACACTGTTCACTGAACAGTGAGCTTAGATTTTTTTTCGGGTAGCTATTAAAAACATTAGATTTTCTCCTCGTTTTTTTAAGAGCTATATCTGAGCATGTCATTCAGTGCAGAGTGGTAAGAGGCTCGCTCATCCATCCGCTAAGTACGAGAAAAACATTACTTGTATTCGCCTACAGTAATTAAACACTACACATATAACCCTTACATCGTCCTAAGCTTCTCTCTACGTGTGGGCTACTTGTATATTGTTCCAGTCACGGTACTGTGCCTTTTTAGTCTTAAACATGTTTAGATCAAGTCTCATTGCGTATACGGAACAACGTACCACATTATGGTAAACACCTACGTGCAGTTAATATCATTTATACCTGAGGGTGGGAGATGATTACCATGTTCCTTGTGGCCAGAAAACGATGGCCTTTCTGATCCTGAGTCAGCAAGACACTCGCCTCGTGTTCAAATTTACAGTCAAAATACTTTGACACAACCAATAAGAAACCCCCACAGCACTTGCAGTGTCCTGGATACTCTAACAACCATCTTCATAAATAGCCTTCCTCACTTTTCAATGTTGGCATCTATTTTTGACAATGATGGACGACTATGCTGTTCATCATCCTCGACTGACGTTCGTCTTGATTTGAATCGAGGAAATTATTTAAAACACCATGTCTAACCTATTGCTTTGTAAAATGCTTACTACAGCATTTCGTGTTTTACTACCTTTTCCACCGAGCTTGAAACAGAATTTCACACATGCACACACACACACACATACATGCTGTTCTTTCTTTTAAAGATTCCATTGCTACATAAAAATCGTAACAAGGCACTGACAACACGACGAAAAATGCCTGTCTGGCCTTAATGCAACGACTGACCGAACTAAAATTCGCCATGGTACTTCGCATAGGAGTGATCTACATCACTGCTATATTTCACCCAGGAAGTTCGCGAAAATTCGAGTATGGGAACTGTTGGATAGCACCTCGTTTGTCTACGGCTGTGTTAACAACGGTAATAATTACAACCTGTGTGTGTAACATCTCAACACACACTGACACACCATGAGGTGGGAGGGTTAGGTTAGGTTAGGTAAGGTTCGTCAGGAAACAGGACAAATGTTTCCTGACGCGGGTCTTAGTCAGATGATGACCCGCCTTTGGAGTTTTTGGTCATCTGACCGAGGCCTTCCGCTGGCTTACAGTCCACCCCTTTAAAAATTATGGTCATTTATAACCATTGTTATTTTTTTTTTTTTTTTTTTTTTTGAGGTGGGAGGGGAATTACTGAAATTACGGACTCTACGACTCAAAACTCTCTTGAGCATTAGCGTCGCTAAAGTCCTGGCCAAAACGATCCTATTTAACCAAGAGTGCTATCGCGAAGAGGCGGGGCCAGGAGCTGTGAATAGACCCCCTCAACCACAAATCAGTGGGTACGATATTGCCCCTTCACCTGACCTCTCGCGGTATACTGCGATTTCCGCTATTTCTGTATTAGAAATGTTAATAGTAAAAGAAATAGCGAGACGTGTTTCAAAAATGTCTTTATCATGCATTTGTCTTTTCACTCCCAAGTAATAGGATAACTTTTTCCATGGTCAATTACGGCATATAAAAACTTGCTATACATAGCGAAAGACCCCCACTGGAAATATATCACATTGGTTTCAATGGGATATCCTAGGGTAAATTCTATATGATGTACTATACAGAAACACTAATATAGACATATGAGGCCTAAATAATAATAAAAAAAGACCTATTAAAGATATATGACAGCTAGGAGGGTGGAAAGGTTGGCAAGTCTGACTCAGACGTAAACAAACATGGCTCACTGGTTCCACAGGAATCCCCTCAAAGCTACGGCTCAGGTCAAATTTGACTTGAAATTGGTTGCTTCTGATAGTCAAACTATAAAAATATGTAGGTAAGAATGTAATGCTATTGTTTGGTAGGGAGAGTGGAGCGGTAACCGTTAAAACTTGTCTATGTAACGTTGGAAACAAATGGAGTTTAGACTTGCGTCATACTTTGACAATTAAGGGAAGATTATACCAGGGAAAGCACGTGATTTTTCTTCTTTGTATTATGCGCAGCAGATATTTAAAGCTTATGTGGATGGAGATCAACAACGGAGTCTATCTGAACTCAATCATACCAGGGATCTCTATGTTAGATCTTAATAATGTGTATGTCAGTAACATCTGTGTCCGTAATTATTATAATTACTATTATGCACGAAATGTCTATAGGACCCTGACTTCATAGGGGCTTCCTGGTCTTCTTGGCACAATGATAAATTCTTGAAACAGGGAATTGAAACTTGGTCTCTTTGGATCAAACCAAAATACTCTCACCCCTCCCTCTTTTTTTGGTTTAAATAGCAGGGATGTTTCTCTTATTCATCAGACTTTGCCATGGTTTTATGCATGACAAATGGAATTTTCCCTTTGTTGCCACTGCTGGTGCTGATGTTGCTACCAATCCTGCCACTGCCACTGCTGATGTTGCTACCAATCCTGCCACTGCCACTGCTGATGTTGCTACCAATCCTTCACTGCTGCTGCTATTGCTGATGTTGCTACCAATCCTGCCACTGCTGCTACCAGTATTACATTACTGATGGTTTCACTGCTAGTGCTTCTTTTGCTGCCACTGTTTCTAATGCTGCCACTGCCACCACTGATACAATTGTTGACACCACTGCCATGCTGATGGCAATGATGTGCTGATGATCCCAGCACTGCTACTGATGCCAATTCAATGTTGGTGTCAGCAGTAGATATCACAAACACTGCTAACATCGATACCAACACTGACACTGCTGATGGAAATTCTAATGCTGCTATTGGCATTGCTGACTATGCTGATGAGAGTGCAGACACAATTGGTGTTAACACCAGCACAGCTGATGCCAATGCTGTAACTGCTCATGCTAAAACTGACACTGTTGAAGCAAAGTCGATACTCCTGATGATAATGCAGACACTGTTGATGCCAAACTGATCATGGCTGACTCCAGACCCGGCGACTGCGCTAACAGCTCTGCATCTGTGATCAGACAAATCATATTTTCTTACAAAACAAATTATGCAATTTTTTTTACAGATTGATGGATATATTCTCACGAGTAGTATTTTTTTTTTCTTTTTAGCAAGTCGGTTGTCTCCCACCGAGGCAGGGTGACCCAAAAAGAAAGAAAATCCCCAAAAGGAAAATACTTTCATCATCATTCAACACTTTCACCAAACTCACACATAATCACCGTTTTTGCAGATGTGCTCAGACTACAAACAGCTTAGAAGCATATACGTATAAAGATACACAACATATCCCTCCAAACTGCCAATATTCCAAACCCCTCCTTTAAAGTGCAGGCATTGTGCTTCCCATTTCCAGGGCTCAAGTCCGACTATATAAAAATAACCAGTTTCCCTGATCCCTTCACTAATTATTACCTTGCTCACACTCCAACAGCTCGTCAGGTTCCAAATACCATTCGTCTCCATTCACTCCTATCTAACACGCTCATGCACGCTTGCTGGAAGTCCAAGCCCCTCGCCCACAAAACCTCCTTTACCCCCTCCCTCCAACCTTTTTGAGGACAACCCCTACCCCGCCTTCCTTCCCCTACAGATTTATACGCTCTCCATGTCATTCTGCTTTGATCCATTCTCTCTAAATGACCAAACCACCTCATCATCTCTTCAGCCCTCTGACTAATACTTTTATTAACTCCACACCTCCTAATTTCCACACACTGAATTTTCTGCATAATATTTACACCACACATTGCTTTTAGACAGGACATCTCCACTGCCTGCAACCGTCTCCTCGCTGCAGCATTTACAACCCAAGCTTCACACCCATATAAGAGTGTTGGTACTACTATATTTTCATACATTCCCTTCTTTGCCTCCATTGATAACGTTTTTTGTCCACATATACCTCAACGCACCACTCACCTTTTTTCCTTCATCAATTCTATGATTAACCTCATCCTTCATAAATCCATCCACTGACACGTCAACTCCCAAATATCTAAAAACAATCACTTCTTCCATACTCCTCCTTTCCAATTTGATATCTAATTTTTCTTTATCTAAATCATTTGATACCCTCATCACCTTACTCTTTTCTATGTTCACTTTCAACTTTCTACCTGTACACACACTCCCAAACTCATCCACTAACCTTTGCAATTTTTCTTTAGAATCTCCCATAAGCACAGTATCATCAGCAAAAAGGTGACTGTCTCAATTCCCATTTTGTATTTGATTCCTCATAATTTAATCCCACCCCTCTCCCGAACACCCTAGCATTTACTTCTTTTACAACCCCATCTCTAAATATATTAAACAACCATGGTGACATTACACATCCCTGTCTAAGACCTAGGTACCTAGGTACCTTCCCCTCTTTCATACATTTATTAAACAAAAATACCTACCACTCTCAAACACTATGTCACCCCCTGCTTTTAACATTTCTGTCCTGATTCCGCTCATTCCACTGCTTTACCCCCTTCATTCTACATAATGCCTCAGCATACCTCCCCCACACTCAACATACCTGCCCTCTTCACTCATTATAAGGACCCCAATGAAATAAGTCACTCTGTCTACTATTTTGGTTATCCCTAGGTTCTCTAACATATGTGATGTATGATAATTTCTATGTAACTTATTTTGCTATACCTGAATAAATTTACTTACTTACTTATAAAAGATGGTATACCTCCCTGTCCAGTGCATGAAATTACCTCTTCCCTTTCTTCGTCGACATTTAAAAGTTCCTCAAAATATTCCCGCCATCTACCCAATACCTCCATCTCCCCATCTACTAACTCCTCTACTCTGTTTTTAACTGACAAATCCATTCTTTCCCTAGGCTTTCTTAACTTGTTTAACTCACTCCAAAAATTTTTCTTATTTTCACTAAAATTTCTTGACAGTGCCTCTCCCACTCTATTATCTGCTCTCCTTTTGCACTCTCTCACCACTCTCTTCACCTTTCTTTTGCTCTCCATATACTCTGCTCTTCTTATAACACTTCTGCTTTGTAGAAACCTCTCATAAGCTTCCTTTTTCTCTTTTATCACACCCTTTACTTCATCATTCCACCAATCACTCCTCTTTCCTCCTGCACCCACCCTCCTATAAACCACAAACTTCCGATATATCAGTTTCCCGTGTATAAACATGTACATCCTGGAGCCTACCCATCAACCTTTTATCCACCAATACATAATCTAACAAACTACTTTCATTACGTGCTATATCATACCTTGTATATTTATTTATCCTCTTTCTCATAAAATATGTATTACTTATTACCAAACCTCTTTCTACACATAGCTCAATTAAAGGCTCCCCATTTTCATTTGCCCCTGGCACCCCAAATTTACCCACTACTCCCTCCACAACATTTTTACCCACTAGCATTGAAATCCCCAACCACAATTACACCCACACTTGGTCCAAAACTCCCCACGCATTTGCTCAACATTTCCCAAAATCTCTCTCTTCTACACTTCTCTCTTCTCCAGGTGCATATACGCTTACTATAACCCACTTTTCACATCCAACCTTTATTTTACTCCACATAATCCTTGAATTAATACATTTATACTCCCTCTTTTCCTGCCATAGCTTATCCTTCAACATTATTGCTACTCCTTCTTTAGCTCTAACTCTATTTGAAACCCCTGACCTAATCCCATTTATTTCTCTCCACTAAAACTCTCCCACCCCCTTCAGCTTTGTTTCACTCAAAGCCAGGACATCCAGCTTCTACTCATTCATAACATCCACAATCATCTCTTTCTTATCATTGCACAACATCCACGCACATTCAGACATCTCACTTTGACAATTTTCTTCTTATTCTTTTTAGTAATCATTACAGTAAAAAGGGTTACTAGCCCCTTGTTCCCGGCATTTTAGTTGACTTTTACAACATGCATGGCTTACGGAGGAAAGATTCTTATTCCACTTCCCCATGGATATAAAAGGGAAAGTAATAAGAACAAGAGCTATTAAGATAAAATCAAAGAAAACTCAGATGAATGTGTTTAAATAAACATGTACATGTATATGTAGTGTAACCTAAGTGTAAGTAGAAGTAGCAAGACGTACCTGTAATCTTGCATATTTATGAGACAGACAAAAGAGACCAGCAATCCTACCATCATGTAAAACAATTACAGGCTTTCGTTTTACACTTACTTGGCAGGACCGTAGTACCTCCCTGGGTGGTTGCTGTCTACTAACCAGTACATTAAATCTTGTATTAAACTTTCTTTTAACACACCGGCCATATCCCACCGAGGCAGGGTGGCCCAAAAGGAAAAACGAAAGTTTCTCCTTTTACATTTAGTAATATATACAGGAAAAAGGGTTACTAGCCCCTTGCCCCTGGCATTTTAGTTGCCTCTTACAACACGCATGGCTTACGGAGGAAGAATTCTGTTCCGCTTCCCCATGGAGATAAGAGGAAATAAACAAGAACAAGAACTAGAAAGAGAATAGCAGAAAACCCAGAGGGGTGTGTATATATATGCTTGTACATGTGTGTGTAGTGTGACCAAAGTGTAAGTAGAAGTAGCAAGACGTACCTGTAATCTTGCATATTTATGAGACAGACAAAAGACACCAGCAATCCTACCATCATGTAAAACAATTACAGGCTTTCGTTTTACACTTACTTGGCAGGATCGTAGTACCTCCCTGGGTGGTTGCTGTCTACTAACCAGTACATTAAATCTTGTATTAAACTATATACTTTTAATTAAGAGCTATGTATTTAGTTCCAAAGTGAAGTCTCAGATGAAAGTATTGTACTGTATAGTATTAGAATTTTTTTGTAATATGCATTTTTCTCATTTTAGTGATCTAAGACAAGCAAGACTGAGACTTCTTGAACTTCTACCGGATGCTAACCATGAAATCGATGTTGTGGAGCCAGCTCTAACACTATATCTAGCCTTATTGCGTGGCCTTATTGAAGTCCCAGAAGGCCAAAGCTCTGATTGGAGCAAACTAAGGCATGCAATTCGTTTTCGCTGGACTCATTCCGTTCTAGGAAACCCACCTGAGTAAGTTGCAATTGCCAAAATGATTTCAAAGTATTGTTAAAATTTACAGGTTCTACATTATTTAGAGTTCAATAATCATTCTTTATAAACCACCTAGAACTGCAGTTCATTTCATGTATTATAGGTGAATTTTGTGTTTTGTTCATTATCATGTAAAAATAATCTTGCAGAATTGCTTGAAAGCTCTTTTGTGTTGTTAATTTTCATAGATATTGATTATAAAAAGCATTACTAAATGATAAGTTCACATGCCACCAAGTTTTAGCAGTGTTTAGTACACATCACCTGGATGTTAACATCAGGTAAAGACAAGCTCAGTAAGCTGTGCAGTGTATGTAAATATTTGTACAATTTTGTTATATATGGTCTGGACAAGGGAGTTATGGTCATTTGCAAATAACATTTATCAACCAATTGAACATCTGCAACATTGTTTTTTACTGAAATCAGTTATACCTGTCATCGTTACTTAATTGAAAAATGTGAAATGTGTTTTTCTTTAAACAAGACTTAAACTAAGATAATAAAAAATAAACTTTCATGTTTTGAGACTGTCTTGAAGAATATTTATCGCTGTAGACATAAGATATTCTTATCTGTTTTGGGGAAGTAGAGCCAACAAATGCCATATTTAAATTACATATATGCTAAAGTAATTTTTTTTATTCAGGTCTCAGGTTGATGCAGTATTTGAATTAGTATCAGTACTCCAGAATGCTGCCTTTTGGTATATGAAACATGCCTCAAAAATTTCTGCACAAGAAGAGTGAGTATCTTGTATGTTACATACAATAAAACATACTTTAATTTGAAATTTGGGCGTATTTTATATCTAATGTAATGTGTAATGCTTTCATTGTAGGTTTGTCAATATTTCTTTTATATTTCTTTTCCAAATGGCACAGACATCATTACCCAAGGATGGCTAGCTGGACCTCTACATGTCTAACCGACTTTTATAGTGCAGGCATTGTACCTCCCAAATCCAAAACTCAAGTCCAATTAATTAGCTTTCTTGAATCCTCTGCAGAAATTATATACCATGTTCGTGCTCAAACAGGGCATAAAATCTTTAAGACCACTTCCATCCATGTATACATACCACCCTGACCATCTCCCAACAGAGTATGCAAATCATCTCACTTCATTAATAAACAGTGGAGAAACAAAAGATTCTGGAAAATAATTTGGGCTTGATTGTTCCCAATGCATTTATTTGCAGATTGGCAATTGTAGGATAGTGTGTTCAATAACCTGTATACAGGTACTCCTCACTCAGTGAATGAGTTCTGTTCCTAAGAGTAGGTCGTTAAGCGAGGAGCCAACCCTTACTGATATTTCAAGCATATTGTAGTGAGTTTGTGTCAACTATATTTAGATGTTTTAATGTCACCTGTGCACCATTTATAACATTTTAGTATATTAAAAATAGAACTAGGCATTAAAAAACAATAAAAAAGTAAAATACACATACAGTACACTGGTTGGAGAGCTGGTCGTAAGTCCAAGCGGTTGTTAAACAGGTAGGTTGTTAAGCGAGGAGTACCTGTATACAATACTTGGTACAGAAAATCACCAGATGGGAAGAGATAGTAAGAAGCCAGAAGCTGACTGCTTTCACAAAGGATTTTTTGAAACAGGAAATATTTAAGAGAATCATTCTTGGTTTCCTGGCCAGTGGAATGCAGGTAACTCAGTCTGTATAACCTATTCTTTTGCAATATTCTCTCATTCTTGAGTCTATGTAAAATTATCCTTACTCCACACATGTTCTGTATTATCAGTTTTCTTACATTAATTTTTTTTTTTAACATGTCGGCTGTTTCCCACCTAGGCAGGGTGACCCAAAAGAAAGAAAACCCAAAAAGAAAGAAAAACTTTCATTATCATTCAACACTTTCACCATCACTCATACATAATCACTGTCTATGCAGAGGTGCCCAGATACGACAGTTTAGATAGTCACTCCAAACTGTCAATATCCAAACCCCTCCTTTAACCCTTCAACTGTCCGAACGTAGATCTACGTTCGCTCGCGTAGTGCTCCAAATGTAGATCTACTTTTTTTTTTTACATGCTTTCAGATGGAGAAAAATCAAGGCATTGTGCTTCCCATTTCCAGGACTCAATCCAGCTAACTGGATTCCCTGAATCCCTTCACAAAATATTACCCTGCTCACACTCCAACAGCTCGTCAAGTCCCAAAAACCATTCGTCTCATAAATTTTTCCATCATTCTGTTTAACTTAATTTTAATTTTTACTGATCATTTATGTGGATTGGTGAGAAGAAATGCAATTCTAGGCAGATTTAAATTGTTTACATATTTGTTATTGTTATAGGTAGTAGGTTGGTAGACAGCAACCACCCAGGGAGGTACTACCGTCCTGCCAAGTGAGTGTAAGACGAAAGCCTGTAATTGTTTTACATGATGGTAGGATTGCTGGTGTCCTTTTTTCTGTCTCATAAACATGCAAGATTTCAGGTACGTCTTGCTACTTCTACTTATGCTTAGGTCACACTACACATACATATACAAGCATATATATACACACCCCTCTGGGTTTTCTGCTGTTTTCTTTCTAGTTCTTGTTCTTGTTTATTTCCTCTTATCTCCATGGGGAAGTGGAACAGAATTCTTCCTCCGTAAGCCATGCGTGTTGTAGGAGGCGACTGGAATGCCGGGGGCAAGGGGCTGGTAACCCCTTCTCTTGTATAAGTTACTAATTTTAAAAAGAAAAACTTTCCTTTTTTCTTTTTGGGCCACCCTGCCTTGGTGAGATGTGGCCGGTTTGTTGAAAAAAAAAAAAAGTTGCTATTGTATGTAAGTTTCCCCAGCCTAGTTTTCCAATCATTTTTCTAGTTTTACTACCTGCCTTTGCATTGCTAATTTTATTAAAATAAATCATGTTTAAATTCTGTACCACATTTTGGATTCTATTAATTGAAGTTACTATTGTACCAGCTAACAAGATTGAACTTTCCGTCCGGTTGTAAACTAAATTCATTGTTTTAAGTTAAAATTGATGCAAGGATCACAAATCTGACCTTGTTTAGTCTATCCTGTAAGATTTTTTAAAATTTTATGATCTATATCTTGGCTGTTTAAAGTTGAAGAACCACATGATATATGTATGTTACCTAACAATGATAGGTATTATATTTATTATTATCACACTGGCCGATTCCCACCAAGGCAGGGTGGCCCGAAAAAGAAAAACTTTCACCATCATTCACTCCATCACTGTCTTGCCAGAGGGGTGCTTTACACTACAGTTTTTAAACTGCAACATTAACACCCCTCCTTCAGAGTGCAGGCACTGTACTTCCCATCTCCAGGACTCAAGTCCGGCCTGCCGGTTTCCCTGAACCCCTTCATAAATGTTACTTTGCTCACACTCCAACAGCACGTCAAGTATTAAAAACCATTTGTCTCCATTCACTCCTATCAAACATGCTCACGCATGCCTGCTGGAAGTCCAAGCCCCTCGCACACAAAACCTCCTTTACCCCCTCCCTCCAACCTTTCCTAGGCCGACCCCTACCCCGCCTTCCTTCCACTACAGACTGATAAACTCTTGAAGTCATTCTGTTTCGCTCCATTCTCTCTACATGTCCGAACCACCTCAACAACCCTTCCTCAGCCCTGTGGACAACAGTTTTGGTAATCCCGCACCTCCTCCTAACTTCCAAACTACGAATTCTCGGCATTATATTCACACCACACATTGCCCTCAGACATGACATCTCCACTGCCTCCAGCCTTCTCCTCGCTGCAACATTCATCACCCATGCTTCACACCCATATAAGAGCGTTGGTAAAACTATACTCTCATACATTCCCCTCTTTGCCTCCAAGGACAAGGTTCTTTGTCTCCACAGACTCCTAAGTGCACCACTCACCCTTTTCCCCTCATCAATTCTATGATTCACCTCATCTTTCATAGAACCATCTGCTGACACGTCCAGGTATTATATTATGCATTGATATTAAGTGTGGTACATGAAGTGACAAAACTAATCTTCATTTAGTGTAAATTCATCATATATATATGCATAACAAAAATAATAGAAATTTCCAGTAATGCAAACATGTTTACATCACAGTTTTTCTTGTGTTCAATATCGCTCTCCTGCACTAGTGTTCAGCAGTAGTCAACCATCAAACTGATTGTCAGGTTTCCCTTATCTTTTCCATGATGGTTATGTCTTGGTGAAGTCATACACTATTGGAGAAAACCCAAGTTCAGATTTCAATTTAGCGTCCAAAATTATTTAAAAACATGTTTTTAATCATGAACTGAAACCATTGTTAGCCAATGTTATTACATACATACATTAATACAGTAATGTATTTCTTTAAAGAACAAACTTTGTTCTTACATGAATTAACTTTCATCATTCTTCTCGTACATTGTCATAGCACTTCATGTACTTATTATTTAGGGTAAGCATGGATGAAGCCAAACTGGTACATCGTAGCTTGCGTCGTGGCGCTGGTTTGCTGAAGTATGCTCAAGAGGAGTGGGTGGACAAACTGCTAGAAACCACTCCAGTAGGAAGTGACAATGATCCCAGAGTTCACACAGCCTACCTAAATCAGGCTACAGCTGAGGCACAAGAAGGTTAGCTAACCTAATCATAGGAATAAATCTAAAGAATCTTTAGTTCGATAGAGCTGGCAGTTGCTCAGTTATTAATGTTGAATTTCATATTCCTGTATTTTGGGTACTTTATGATGTGAAATTTTAATTAGCCTAACATAACAGTGTGCTCGAGTTTCTTGTATCATACAGTACATTACTAGCTCTGCTTGCATATGTACCCATGTTTAATATAATTGAAGTTTTTTTATTTCGATTCAATATCTGTAGGCAAAACAATGACATTCAATGCAAGACATGATAAAGCTCTCATTTAAATTAATTATTGTTCTATGAAGGCCCTGTTTGGTAATGGTTTTTTATTTTCCCTAATTGTTGTGGGTTTATCCATCACCCATCTTATACGATAGCTGATTTTCATGTTACAGTGACTAAAATAGACTTAACTACATAAAAAATGTTTTTACATTTGTATTCCCTTCATATTACTTTAGCAACTTATTGTATATTATCATATTTTTGTAATTTTTGATGCAAGTTCGAATTTTAATTATATAATTGCACATACAATATTCTTGGTGGGGTAGAGTTAGGAAAAACACACAATATTAGGAAATGTTTAAATGCAGTAATTTTTCTTTTGTCTAAACATATTTCAGTTTAAATTAAATAATCTGTTGCTACAAACTTTTGGTACATACAGAACTCTCAAACATTGTCATTGAATCTTTATATTATTTAGTTTAATATGATTATTATTATAATTAAATAAAGATTTAGTTTTCTATACTGTGTACTGTCTGATTTTATTACTTACATTTCCTTATACAGTATAATTATATTTTATAATTATGTTCTGTTACACTTCAAGGAATAGCATTTAAATTTTTTTTCTTTTGTATGTGTGGTCATTAATAGTTCTTGAAATACTGTGCAGATTATTGTTTCAAAATTATACTGTTCTTGTATACCATAGTGTATGCATATGTAACCTGATTACTTCATTTTAACATGATTGCAATTTACATGATTGGGTGCTTTGTGAAATACAAAAGCAGTTTTAAACTATTTAATCAGCTATCTTTTCTTGACTTATTACAGTTTGATATGTGTATAATTTCAGTGACAATTGCAAGAGCTATCGAGTTGAAGCACAATGCCGGGTTGATTTCTGCTCTTGCAAATGAAACATTCAAGTTGTTCACAACTGCGGCAGACGCTATTAGTTCTTTGGAGGAAAAGAAATTTGGTCACTGGACAAACTATCTGCGCTTGAAGGCTGCCTTCTATGCTGCTTATGTATGCATTACAATGTGGATAATTTGTAAATACTGTAATCTCAACTTAGAAGAGGAACTTTGGTTGTGACCTGGTAATGGTCCAGGATGGTCTAAAGCATCAGCATAAAGTTCCTCTCCTAAGTGTGAATTGCTTCAGGCATAGTACTGTGACCTTTTTATCCTTCAGTTTGGCTAAGCTATGTCAGATATCCTAAATGCTTATTCATGGATTACGAGCTATATTACATATTGTATATACTGTGTCTTGAATTTTTAGAACTATATAAAATTTTAATATGGTTATAAGTTTCAAAATAGAAAAGTGTATTATAATGTTTGTATTTATTCTTCAGGCTTATAATTATGCAGGCCAGAATATGCTGAACCAGGATAAATGTGGAGAAGCTATCAGAGCACTGCAGGAAGCTAAAAAGAGTAAGACTGTTCAGTTTGCTTTGTATATACTAATGTTGTGCTTGAATTAAAATTTGGTGATTTTTTTATACATGCTTAACTTAATAAAGTATTCCTTAGTGCATTGTTTAATCAGTATCGATTTAATGTCTTAAAATATTGTTACTCATTGTAGGCTTATCTGCGAAGTCTACTCTTAAAAGGTTTCTTTTATTTAAGAATATGAAGAAGCTGGTGAACTTTGCAAGGAATATGCCAAGACCAAAGGACCAGGGACACAGGTGAAACCAGAGAAACATGAATTCTTCCGTCGGTTGGCCCCTATAATTGCCCGAACTCTAGAGAAATGTGAAAGGGAAAATGGGATGATGTGAGTAATCTGTGAAAGTAATTTACACATTATCATTCTTACAATCATAACTAAGCACTAAACCCACTAGGGTCATACAGTGCTAAACATACATATAATATGTAGGTGCTACTGTATTTAGATTGTGCATTTCTGAATTGCTTTGAGTTATTCTCAATTCCTCAGTGTCTTATACTCGTTTATGTAACCGCTCATTACAGTACTGTACGTATAAAATTTGTGTGAGAGATGATCCATATTGACAAAGGGGAGTAGAAAGACCAGGTTAAAATCATAAGCTTTTTCTATGTGATTATTTGTTTATTTTCTTTTCATTCCATCCCATGATTTATTTTGTAGGCACAGTTCAGTTGGATAATTATATAGTGTATATAATTTTTTTTTCAGTTACCATCAAAAGATTCCATTTGATCCTCCAGTGTTGGAATTGAAAGCAACTTACGGTTTAGTGTCACCAGATGATTATACTCTTCCTCCGGCTGCTCCGTTATGGACACCAGTCACATATAGTGCATTCGACTTGATGAAGAATCTTGCGAGGATCCAAGTGCTAATTCGGTGAGAACCATCACTGTAATTAGGCACCTCCAATAGGAATAACTTATTTGGTATTGCCTTTAAAAACCTGTCCTTAGGCTTTACCTGAGTTCTAATATTATTTTGCTTTATATTTCTCTGGTCCCTGGAGCAACTGCATATAAACTGAGCTTCATACACCAAGTTCACTACCCAGGAGTTTTTTGCTGGAGGGTACATGAGAAAATGGGTGTGTATTTGTGGGAAGAAAGAACATGAGGCGTAATACAATACAACAAATGTAAGACCAAAGATATACCACCTGGCATATTCCAGACATGCTTTTAATCATTTGGCATTTTCTTTCTTTAAAATAACATTGTGTTGGATTTTGCACTACTGATATCACTGGCAGAGCTTTTAATTTTTGGTCAACATCTATAGAACTCTTACAAAACTCATTAAGCATATTCATGCCATTGCCACAGCATAGTAAAACTTGTTAGATCCAGTCAAGTTGTGATCAAGATCTGGTAGGATCTAATTTCACTATCTTAGATATTTTTACATGGTGGATTTTTATAGTACACATTTTGTTAAAATTTACTTACCTTAATGCATGGTGTGTTTAACCCTTTGGGGGTTTCGGACGTACTAAGTATGTCTTATGACCCAGGGTTTTTGACGTACTAGTACGCCTAAATTCTAGCGCCCTCATATCTAGTGAGAGAAAGCTGGTAGGCCTACATATGTAAGAATGGGTCTATGTGGTCAGTGTGCGCAGTATAAAAAATCCTGCAGCACACAGTGCGTAATGAGAAAAAAAAAACTTTTGACAGTGTTTTTGGATTAAAACAGCGACTTTGCACTGTATTTTTGTATGGTAATTATTGTTGTATTCTAGTTTTCTTGATCTCATTTTATAGAATGGAAGACATATTACAGAAATTGAGATGGTTTTACTGGTTTTACAAGGAAAAGTACCTTGAAATTGAGCTCAAAGTAGCAGAAATGTTCGATTTTTACCAAAGTTCAAAAGTAAACAAATCATGCCAAGCGTCCAATACACATCAACTGGTGAGTCTAATATTCTTTCACAAGTGTGCTGATATTATTTATACCATTTCTACACTAATGCAGTAGTCTGCATAACAGTAAATCTTATTTTTTTTGTAAGAATAAAAATTCAAAGTGGAAAGCCAAAGAAATATAAGAGGGGCCTGGGGATGTGACTAATGAACAGAGAACTTGTTATTTTAGTGCCAGGAATGTCTTTCTTGTTTATTCTGGACCCTATTCTGAAATTGGCATCTTTTGAAATTTGTGTGAAATTGGAAATATTGCTAAATTCTGACCACTTTATTGGATAGTTGAAATTGGTAAATGGGTGGTTTCTTGTACTCATTCGATAGAAAAAATGGAGCTTTAGCGAAATAGTTATGATTTTTGTCGACTAGTACACTGGAATTGGCAGAAAATAGGGCTCAAAGTGGGCAAAATCGCCGATGCATAAACATCGTCGAGACTGCTAACTTCGTGAGAGCATAATTCCACAAGCTTTCCATCAAATTTCATACTTTTGGTGTCATTATGATCGGGAAAAGATTCTCTATCTTTTCATAAGAAAAAATAATTTTTTTTTTTTTTGAAATTTGGCCGACCCTGAGAACAAGTCTCTGAGAGGACCTGTCGACCCCCAAAGGGTTAACAGTGCTTGAGTCACTATACTGTATATTTTAGGCATTTAAAATTTTTACAGTGCTGTCAAAGTTATGAATTGCCTCCAGATAATGTTTTGGCATTAATAATACTACTGAAGTTATATTGAGTCTGATAAAAAAAAGATATGCATTAGCAAGCTTTTCATACATGGTTTTGGTTACATAATTCAAAATTAAATTATTTATACAAATAATTATATTATATTAGCTTATGAGGTTTTTACAAAGCAGAAGTGTTATAAGAAGAGTAGAGTATATGGAGAGTAAAAGAAAGGTGAAGAGAGTGGTGAGAGAGTGCAAAAGGAGAGCAGATGATAGAGTGGGAGAGGCACTGTCAAGAAATTTTTGATGAAAATAAGAAAAATTTTTGGAGTGAGTTAAACAAGTTAAGAAAGCCTAGAGAACGAATGGATTTGTCAGTTAAAAACAGAGTAGGGGAGTTAGTAGATGGGGAGATGGAGGTTTTGGGTAGATGGCAAGAATATTTTGAGGAACTTTTAAATGTCGACGAAGAAAGGGAAGCGGTAATTTCATGCACTGGCCAGGGAGGTATACCATCTTTTATGAGTGAAGAAGAACAGGATGTGAGTGTGGGGAAGGTGCGTGAGGCATTACGTAGAAAGAAAGGGGGTAAAGCAGCTGGAACTGACGGGATCATGACAGAAATGTTAAAAGCAAAGGGTGATATAGTGTTAGAGTGGTTGGTATTTTTGTTTAATAAATGTATGAAAGAGGGGAAGGTACCTAGGGATTGGCAGAGAGCATGTATAGTCCCTTTATATAAAGGGAAGGGGGACAAAAGAGATTGTAAAAATTATAGAGGAATAAGTTTACTGTGTATACCAGGAAAAGTGTATGGTAGGGTTATAATTGAAAGAATTAGAGGATTGTGGATGAGCAAGGTGATTTCAGAGTGGGTAGGGGAGGTGTAGATGAAGTGTTTACATTGAAGCATATATGTGAACAGTATTTAGATAAAGGTAGGGAAGTTTTCATTGCATTTATGTATTTAGAAAAGGCATGTGATGAGTGGATAGGGGAGCAATGTGGCAGATGTTGCAAGTATGTATATGGAATAGGTGATGAGTTACTAAATACTGTAAAGAGTTTTTAGGAGGATAGTGAGGCTCAGGTTAGGGTGTGTAGAAGAGAGGGAGACTACTTCCCATTAAAAGTAGGTCTGAGACAGGGATGTGTAATGTCACCATGGTTGTTTAGTATATTTTTAGATGGGGTTGTAAAAGAAGTAAATGCTAGGGTGTTTGGGAGAGGGGTGGGATTAAATTATGGGGAATCAAATACAAAATGGGAATTGACACAGTTGCTTTTTGCTGATGATACTGTGCTTATGGGAGATCCTAAAGAAAAATTAGTGGATGAGTTTGGGAGTGTGTGTAAACGTAGAAAATTGAAAGTGAACATAGAAAAGAGTAAGGTGATGAGGGTATCAAATGATTTAGATAAAGAAAAATTGGATATCAAATTGGAAAGGAGGAGTATGGAAGAAGTGAATGTTTTCAGATACTTGGGAGTTGACGTGTCGGCGGATGGATTTATGAAGGATGAGGTTAATCATAGAATTGATGAGGGAAAATAGGTGAGTGGTGCATTGAGGTGTATGTGGAGACAAAAAAACATTATCTATGGAGGCAAAGAAGGGAATGTATGAAAGTATAGTAGTACCAACACTCTTATATGGGTGTGAAGCTTGGGTTGTGAATGCAGCAGCGAGGAGGCGGTTGCAGGCAGTGGAGATGTCCTGTCTAAGGGCAATGTGTGGTGTAAATATTATGCAGAAAATTCAGAGTGTGGAAATTAGGAGAAGGTGTGGAGTTAATAAAAGTATTAGTCAGAGGGCTGAAGAGGTGTTGTTGAGGTGGTTGGGTCATTTAGAGAGAATGGATCGAAGTAGAATGGCATGGAGAGCGTATAAATCTGTAGGGGAAGGCGGGGTAGGGGTCGTCCTCGATAAGGTTGGAAGGAAGGGGTAAGGGAGGTTTTATGGGCGAGGGGCATGGACTTCCAGCAGGCGTGCATGAGCATGTTCGATATGAGTGACTGGAGACGAATAGTATTTGGGACCTGACGATCTGTTGGAGTGTGAGCAGGGTAATATTTAGTGAAGGGATTCAGGGAAACCGGTTATTTTTATATAGCCAGACTTGAGTCCTGGAAATGGGAAGTACAATGCCTGCACTCTAAAGGAGGGGTTCGGGATATTAACAGTTTGGAGGGATATGTCGTGTATCTTTATATGTATATGCTTCCAAACTGTTGTGTTCTGAGTACCTCTGCAAAAACAGTGATTATGTGTGAGTGAGGTGAAAGTGTTGAATGATGATGAAAGTATTTTCTTTTTGGGGATTTTCTTTCTTTTTGTGTCACCCTGCCTCGGTGGGAGACGGCTGACTTGTTAAAAAAAAAAAAAATATGTTCTGTTTATAATTTATTTGCATTTGCTGAGCATTCCTTAATTTACATTCTTACTTCTTTTTCCCAGTGATAACTTCACTTATGTGATGTCCCATCTATTGAAAGATTGACATTTGGAAATTATTAAATTGTATAAGAATGAATAAATTAAGGAAGGGAAATTTCCATAGGTATAGATGTGTAGTATTACATGACCTTCCTATATACCAACAGAAAGCAGCTCAGAAAGCAGAGGGCGATTTACCACCAGTGAAGGAGGCTGCCATTCACGAGACGACAAAAGACCACAAAAATACCAGTGGGTGCTCTGTTATGTAACTAAAGATCATCATGAGTCCAAGTAGGTGGGTGTTAAACAATTATTGGTAGGTCCCTTGCTATGCGACACTGAACTACAGTGTTTAATGGTAATTTTATATATGTCTAACATTTATCTTTTTAATTACTGTATAAAGGTTTTATAGTAAAATGTTTCCTGCTAGGTTTTGTTTTAATATTTTTTTTTCTTTTAAATGTTCAGATACTGTGTATAAAATTTGGTTTGTTTGGAGTTGAAGCTGAATTGTGAATTTTGTAAATTTTATTGTCATTAAAGTCTCTTAAAAAGTTTATTGCAATTTGTTGTAAAAAACTGTATTAGCACCCATCATGAGTAAGTCAAATTCATATTCCCAGTATGCCACTGTATTCATTGCATATTTCTGGTAGCATTTGTCATTTACTGCGCTGAAGTTCATTCCCAAATATCGAAACACATTTAGGGATAGACTGAGGTAAATTATGTAGATTTGGCCTAAGTTAATAAAAAAAAGTGGTCCTTAGATATCCATTATTGTTTTCAGCCCAAAACGTTTCAGATTTTCACTGAAGTACTATATAGAAGAGAAGGTTTTAATCATAGATGATGCCTTGGTCACATTTTTAATGTATACAGTCTTGATTTTCGGTTTTAAGCAAAATTCATGCCTTGATTTAGGACAATCAGATTAAAATCTAATCTGTATGAATAAGTTTTTTTTCATGTATGATATATTAATTGTATTTTTATATCTTTGGAGAATATACTGTATCCAGTGGCTAGCTTGTCTCATTCTATGATCTCATTCTTGTTAAGAATGTTGATTTAATTAAAATATATTACCAGGGAAGTTGCTTTTTTTTTTTTTTTTAATTTTGACATTTAAAACCCTTTCATTAAACTTTAGAATGATACAAAGATGCCTGTACATTGTGAAGCAAATGAGTTTGTGATATTCTTTCTCTTCACTTAGATGAATATTTCTCAAGCAGTGGGGCATGGCCAACATTGGGGCCATAAGCAAGGCAGACCTTTGACAACTAGTGTGTTGTCAAATAAATTATGATCAAGATCAGCATTTTTCTGTATACTCTATATATTATATCTCAAGGAAGATACCTATATGCTGGTAAAGGGCTCTTGTCAATTGAACTGAAGTTACCCTCCCATTCCTTTGATCAAATCTGAGTACCTCCTGTTTCCCAGACTCTGTATTGACCCTTCAGGTTTAGCAAGTCCCCATAAATATAGTGTTATAATACAATGAACCCTTTTACAGTGTGGCAGTTGTATTCCTAAAAAAAATGTCATGTTTAAGTAATTTTGTTGTTCAGACTGTTGGATATGAGAAAAAAGTGGGGTTACATTCCAGAACTCTTGAGTCAAGCAAAAGTAATTTTAGTTTAGAAGTTGTATAGCAGTAATTCTGCTATTGCATTTAAAGGCTTATTTATCCTTAAAATGAGGTTGTGGGGTTGCAGTCATAGTTGAATATTTTGGAATGTCTAAGAATCATAAATAGAATTCATTAGTTCAATAGAAGTGCATGCTGCTGAGTCTCTGTAGGACATTATAACAACCTAAGTGGAATTTCAGATATATTGAACTATGATGCTCTTGTTACTAAAATCCAGCATGTCGGTTTCCATGCCACCCATAAATAACTAGGAGAGGCTTCAAACTCTTAACTACACACATGTTATAGAAAGCATAAAGATGAGCTATAAAATGGCATCCAGAACTAAAAAAAAAAAAATGTGAAAATCTTTTGGCTAATAGGAGGAAGAATGGGATGTGATAAACACAAACAAGATTATAAAAGGAACACAAACAAGATTATAAAAGGTTGGGAAAGAATTGACAAGGACTTCCTATCACCATCAATGGGAAGAATAAGTGTCTAAAATTATAAATTTTGGAAGAAAGATTGCTGAAGGAATACTTTGAAACTTTTCTTTGCAAACCATGGTACAGGTTGAGTATCACATGTGAAATCCTGAAATTTAAAATGCTCCGAAATCCAATTTCTTTTTTTTAAAGTGTCGACACTACACCACAAATGGAAAATTCCAGGCAGCTCTGGAGAAGTTCCCAGGCATTACACAGGTCACTATGGGTAATAATGATCAGAAAAAATACAATATACAGTAGCTTTTTAATTAGAAACAAGGCATTGTAGGTGGAGACTGAAAGCATGCCATTGCATTTTTGTTTTTAACAGCTGATGCAGGTATGTATTCTGCTGATGCTGCTATGCTGCATTTATTAAAAATATTAAAATTACCTTCAGGCTATGTGTATAAGGTGTATATGAAATTTAAATGTATTTTGTGTTTAGACTTGGGTCCCATCCCCAAGCTATCTCATTTAATTGCAAAAAAAAATGAAAAATTCTGAAATCTGAGACACTTCTGGATAAGGGATACTCAACCTGTACTGTAGGTCAGTGGAATGTTTTTTTTTTAAGAGGTGGTGCTACAACCTCTGGAATTTTTAAAATATGGATGATGGATGCCATGAGCTTGGTTCTGTATGACCTCTTTTACGCCCGCATGCATGCAAATACGCACATGCGTGCACGCTCATGTGCGCATGAACACACAGACTGGGCCACGGGGTATTGACCCCCCTAAACCCTCTCCAGGTATACACACACAAGGGCATGCATGTGCACGCATACACTCACACTTTCTTAAGTCATATTGCCTAAGCCAAGGTGCAGGAACAAACAAATAACATTGGGCAAAGGTATTTATAGCATCAGGTTTTCACTGGCTTTGCAAGATGTTTAAATTGGGTTGTAATTGGTTCAAGGATTTTATATACATTTCGTTCTGTATATAATGGAAGCCATAGGCAAAACTAAGCTTGGTTTGTTTGGGAATAATCATTTTGCCAAATATGCCAAGCTTTTATTCACTTTTGTTAAAGTTCATGATTATAATCTCAAAGTTCAGTCCCTACCTGTATTGTGGTTTTTTAAGGAATAGGTAGTATAATCCAGTGTTTTCCAAAGTCTTAGTACACCACCCTTCCCTCTCAAAGTGGCCAGATAATTGATATACTGTAGTACTAAAAATATATCGGGTTAATAAATGTACACTGTTCTGTAGATAATTTTCTTATGTTTTGTTTAAAATACTTTTATACTTGTATAAAGTATAGGTAGTAGGTTGGTAGACAGCAACCGCCCAGGGAGGTACTACCGTCCTGCCAAGTGAGTGTAAAACGAAAGCCTGTAATTGTTTTACATGATGGTAGGATTGCTGGTGTCCTTTTTTCTGTCTCATGAACATGCAAGATTTCAGGTACGTCTTGCTACTTCTACTTACACTTAGGTCACACTACACATACATGTACAAGCACATATATACACACCCCTCTGGGTTTTCTTCTATTTTCTTTCTAGTTCTTATTCTTGTTTATTTCCTCTTATCTCCATGGGGAAGTGGAACAGAATTCTTCCTCCGTAAGCCATGCGTGTTGTAAGAGGCAACTAAAATGCCGGGAGCAAGGGGCTAGTAACCTCTTCTCCTGTATATATTACTAAATGTAAAAGGAGAAACTTTCGTTTTTCCTTTTGGGCCACCCCGCCTCGGTGGGATACGGCCGGTGTGTTGAAAGAAGACTTGTATAAAGTTACTTATAAAAAAAAAATTGTTTCGTAGTGACATATTGTACATTCTGAATGACTGTTTGATGTTTTAAGAAACATATAGACTATCTTATTTTGATTCCTGCTGTCGTTAATAGATTATGTAAAGTGATATTTTACATACATGCCAGAAAATGAATATCAATTTTTATTATGATTACGGTAATGTTCTGATCAGTGTTGATTGTGATATACGAAAAGTTGAAATGGCAGAAAATTGTGCAATTTGAGGTATTTATTTTAAAATAATTAATATTAAGCGATATTTTTTGGTGCACTGTATATTAATCATTTTTAGTATGGATTTTTTTATTATGAACTTATTTTGCTTATAGTGAATACATAGTTCAAAAGTTGACCCCATAGTCACTGACCTCAGTATAATGTTGTATTTGTGTTTTTTGCCTTTCTACATAGTACAGTGGACCCCCGCCTTACGATATTAATCCATTCCCGAGAGCTCATCGTAAGCCAAAATTATCATAAGGCGAATTAATTTTCTCCATGAGAAATAATGGAAATCAAATTAATCCGTGCAAGACACCCCAAAGTATGAATTTTTTTTTTTTTACCACATGAAATATTAATTTTAATACACAAACTGAAGAAGACATGCACAATTACTACTCTACTAAGAATAGAATACATGACACTTACCTTTATTGAAGATCTGGTGATGATTGATGGGATGGGGGGAGGGGAGAGTGTGGAAGTTGTTATTGTTTAGAAGGGAAATCCCCTTCCATTAGGACTTGAGGTATCAAGTCCTTTTCGGGGTTACTTCCCTTCTTTTAATGCCACTAGAACCAGCTTGAGAGTCACTGGACCTCTGTCGCACAACAAATTTGTCCATAGAGCTCTGTACCTCCCATTCCTTTAAGATTTTCCTAAAATGGGCCATAACATTGTCATTGTACAGGTTGCCAACACTGCTTGCCGTAGCTGTGTCAGGGTGATTTTCATCCGCAAAGGTTTGCAGTTCAATCCACTTTGCACACATTTCCTTAATCTTTGAAGTAGGCAACTTCCTCAATTTCTCTCTCCCCTCCTCTGAAGCAGTTTCCTCAGGTCTGGCCTCTTGCTGTTGATGATCTAGCAGCTCTTCAGTGGTTAGTTCTTCATTGTCCTCCTCCACCAACTCTTCCACATCCTCCCCACTAACCTCCAACCCCAAGGACTTCCTCAATGCCACAGTGGATTCCACAACTGGCATACGCTTCTCAGGGTTAGCCTCCAACCCTTCAAAATCCCTTTCTTCTACACATTGTGGCCACAGTTTCTTCCAAGCAGAGTTCAAGGTCCTCTTAGTCACTCCCTCCCAAGCCTTACCTTATAAGGTTTACACAACTGAGGATGCTAAAGTGATCTTTCCAAAACTCTCAGAGTCAATCGAGTGTCTGAGGTCACTTCAAAGCACTTTTGAAACAGCTTTTGTGTAGAGTTTTTTGAAGTTAGAAATGACCTGCTGGTTCATGGGCTGCAGGAGAGGAGTGGTATTAGGAGGCAAAAAACTTTACCTTAATGAAGCTCATGTCCCCAGAAAGTCGCTCTGCCAAGTCTGAAGGATGACCAGAAGCATTGTCTAATACCAGGAGGCACTTAAGGTCCAATTTCTTTTCCATTAGGTAATTTTTCACAGTGGGGGCAAATGCATGGTGTAACCAGTCATAGAAAAGTCCCTAGTGACCCATGCCTTACTGTTTGCCCTCCACAGCACACACAAATTAGCCTTGACAACATTATTTTGCCTGAACGCTCTGGGAGTTTCAGAGTGATACACCAATAAAGGTTTCACTTTGCAATCACCACTAGCATTAGCACACATCAGAAGAGTAAGCCTGTCTTTCATAGGCTTATGTCCTGGGAGTGCCTTTTACTCCTGAGTAATGTGGGTCCTGCTTGGCATTTTCTTCCAAAACAGGCCTGCTTCATCGCAATTAAACACTTGTTCAGGTTGCAGTTCTTCACTGTCTAGG